CTCTAATCTTTAGGTGTTCTTTTAAGCACTTAATTCGGGGTACAAGAGTAGGTCGTAAATGTCTTTTTGTAGCTATACGAGTAGTGCTGGTGTTTGATATTGTGGCGACTTCTGTTTTTTACCTAACTTTTAAGAAAAAAATTGCTTAGTTAGCTAAATAGATCTTGTTTTTTTGCACTGGATTCCATCTATAATTGCATTCTATATGTCGGTTATGTAAAAGTTAATATAATTATTTTTCATATATAAAACCTATTTTTTATTTATTTTACATGTAAAGATTTATTTCTTTGTAGTTTTAACCAAACATATATTATTTTAAAGTTATAATTAAAAATATTTTTTTTTAAAAAATTATAACTATAAAAGATATTACCATATTAAACACATACTAGGTTGTTTACTATAAAAGATACTACCATATTAAACACATACTAGGTTGTTTGAACATAAATTGCAAATAACATAGAAAGGAAAAAAAAAATGAAATTACATTTAGAGTTTCTATAGGATTATTGATGACAAAACTCTTCGAGAAGAAATTGCTTATAATTTGGAAAAGAAAAAGGGAAATTAGATTTAGAGTTTCTTAAGATAGATGTTACGTGGAGTCAACATTTAGTTATTAATAACCAAAAACGTTTATAATGGTTTTTTATGACAAAAGGTGAGATGAAATAGACAACAAATAAATTAATTTGAAATAGACATATATAAACGAACTTGTTTTTAAATGCCTCAATTCAAAAGTATGGATAATTTATTTAAAATTTAATTAAAAAAAAGTATTAAATATCGATTTGTAAAAAGTATCCATGAAGGAAAAACCACCCTGGTTCTATCATTATTTGTTATTAAAAAATCACCTTAGAACATTTGATATGATTAAAATATTTTGAAAAAATATAAAAGATATTATTTTGATATATTTTTAAATAATTTTTTTTAAAAAAACAACTACTACCATATTTCTTAATATTCCCCTAATTATATATTTTTAAAGCACATCTATCATCATCCTATGTGCTTGAAAAATATATATGTTTTTTAAATACTCGTTTATTTGAACTCGATAAATAAAAAATCATGACTAGTTGGTATTGTAATTCAGGCTTGCACATGATCAGGATAAGAAGCTCAATCCTCGAACAATATAGTGGACTTCCTCCCTTGGATTTAAAATCTTAAATTTAAAAGAAACTAAAAAGTCTTAGCTACTAACCCGTGATTATGACTTGACGCGGTTTTGGGGTCTCGAAGTCTGATAAAACGACGCACTACTTTGTCCGTTTCATCTTTTATTCCTTCGAAGCATGTGAGGATGGTTGATTACTTGGGTTCTACTACTTAATTATATATTATTTAGGCTCTGCCACGTCCCCCCTCTTATTCCTCTGTACAGCAACTTGGACCCATGTTCACGGTTTGAAATTTCCAGACCCATCTTTCAAAAGTTGTCAAATCGTCGAATTAAATTAAATAATTATTCATTCATTCATTTTTAGATTAGAAATTTACTTAATTGTTGATAGATTGTTCCCCCTTCATGTAAGCAATTCACATTAAACGTTTTACTAAATTTATATTGATACATATATAATATTAAGGCAGTGATTTTAGTATTTTCATGGATAAAACACAAATAGAGGAAATTACATTGCTGAAAAAATAATAAGAGCCCCTTTATTTTTGTGTTTTATATTTTTTTTTAAATTAATTTTTTATTTTAAATTAATATTTTTTTGGTGTTTTTGAATTATTTTGATAGATTTATATTAAAAATAAATTTTAAAATATAAAAATAACACCCACAAGTAATTTTAAATTTTGTTACTTGTAACCAATGAAAAAAAAAGAAGAGATCCCTCTTTAGATTTTCTTCCCCATTTTTATGGGGATGTGGAGGCAGCATTCGGTGAAAGATAGAGAGAGTGACACATAGCAAAACCCACCTTTACATGTAGAAGTCGATTGGGAACGCTGTTTGTAAAAAATTTAAATTTTCTTTTTAAAATTTAAATTTTTTATATGTTTTGATAATTTTTAAAATAATTTTTAAAAAATAAAAAATTTTATTTTAACATATTTTAACATAAAAAACACTTCAAAAAATAAACACAATTATACTCCCTAACATGCAATTAGCGCGTCACATTTTGATGCATTAACGGAAAGTTAATAGAAGTTATTTTAAATTGCAAGAAACGAATATTTGGCTAATAGAAGTTAAGTAGTCAATATCTATATTCAATAGCTCCAGCTCTAGCATCCTTCTTTTTCTAACTTATGCATAGTTACTAGATTTTTCTAACTCGATTATTCTGAGTTGACAAACTAAGACTAGATTCAAAAATAAATAAAATAAATATTTAACATAAAATCCATTATTTTAAAACCTACCATGACTAGGAGATTTTAAGATTTAATTGATTAGAATTTAAGCTGATTTAAATAAAAAAACCTTAAAAAAAATTAATTAGCCTAATAAAAAATACAATTTTACTAAGAGACTTGTAAACAATCTATTCATTAACTTTTTAACTCTTCCTTTTTTTTTTTAAAAAATATCATTTTGTTTTTTTCAAAACAAACTAGAACAACTTGACCATTAATAACCTTTTTAATTTATGATTCGGGTTTTATCTTGCGTTAAATTTTAAAAACTTGTTTAAGGTTGTAGTTAAACTGTTTTTTTTATTGAATTTTAATTTTTTAATTAATTTTTAATAATTTAATATTAAAAATAAAAAATATATTATTTTAATATATTTTCAAATAAAAAAATTTCAAAAAACAACATAAACTACTCTTCGAAACCCGACAATAACTAATATAAAATACAGTGAAAAAAGGTTGAAAATACAGGGGAAGGAAAGTAGGAAGAAGAGGGGACCCACACGGTTTAATTTACTATGAAGAATTTGGTAAGAGCTGGTCCAATCTAATACAGTTAGTTACTAGAAGAATTTCGGTGGTTAAAGTGAAGAATGTCGAGACCATTTATGGCATGAGGTCATTGCTATCATGGTTTAAAGCTCACAACTATATCCCTTCCTGTCATGGATTCCATTTTCAATAAAATTATACATTAATCTTAATAAATCAGCATAAAAACTAAAAAAATCACTTCTTGTTTAGTAATTGTGATGCTGCTGCTATATTTTTATAAGAAAAAAAATAAAAATTTAATTTTTTAAAAACATACTTATTAAAAGAAATAATAACGAATTTTAAACGAAACTAATCTCATCTTTTAAAAAAGATATAAAGATACCTGATAAAAACAAAAAAAAACATATGTATTAAATCATTTATAATACTTTTAACTGTCAAATAAAAAAAAATTCCAGATTACTCTTATGATAAAAAAAAATTAAAAATTTTCTAATCTCAATACATAGTTTTTTTAAGTATATCAACTTAATATTTTCTCTCAATCAAATACATGAAATATAATCTTTTTTTCTATTTTAGTATACTAACTTCTCGATTGTTCCAATCGTGCACATCTATAAAAACCCTCTGTTATTTTTTCCATCACATGCTTTCCCATTTCTTCTATTAAAATAATAATAAAAATAAATTATGTTAATAATTTATTTATCAATCTTGATTAATCATATTATATTTCACAATCTCGCTGCAATACCTAGGCAGCATACATTAGGTAAAAGCCTTTTTTCTTAGTAAAAAAAACTTATTTTAATTTAAGATATCTTTGTTTATTACTGGTTCGGAGGGCACTTTTACTGAAAAATAAAACCATATTAGAAGATGAAAGATTAAAGAAAATACTTAATTGATATAATTGAAAAGGTTAGCATACCAAAACGAGAAATGTTAAAGCTCTGCATCTGCACTCAAATAAGATAATCTAAGATTTAGTGTACCAAGACCATATCATACCGTTACGGATAAAAAATTGGGTCAAGATATTTACTTTTTTTGTAATTTTAAATTTGAGTTTTATAGTTATTAATATAATAATTATTAAAGATTTATATTTTTATTAACTTTAAAATTTATGAGATTAATCAAGATATGTATAAATTAACTTGAACAACCCATGTTAATAAAAAAAAATATAGCAATTGACAAAGAATAGACAAAAACACTTTTTGGGAAGTTTTTAAAAAGTTAATTCTTAAACCCATAAATAAAATAAAATTGAAGTCTATGTATTTCATTGAAAAAAGCTGTAAAATTGGATTACCACTGGTGTAATTATCCCTGATATTAAATATAACAGTCCATATTTGTTTCAGGTATAGAAAAGGTTAATATTAGTATACCTCTAAGTTTATGAACATCAACAGATAATGCAATCATGCGTGAAGAAGAGTTGGGTCACTCTACCTTTTCCCAAAAAATCCAGTGTGGTGTCTAATTTCATTGGATGGGCTTGTTGTCCTCTTATCTGGTCTTCATTGACACAACTTGGGGACTTCCTGAAACTCAAGTGAGGGCCCTGACCATCATAGATTCATCCATGGTGTGTTTGAACTGCGTATCCATGATTTTTAAAGAATTTTGCTTCATAATATATATATATATATTAATTAATTAAAATTTTAAATTATTAAGTTGAGATGATTTTTTAATATAGTATCGAGCTTTAATAACCAAACAATCATGAATTTGAATTTTTATTATTTTTATTTATTTAATAAAAAAATTAATCATAAAGTAATATGAATTTGTATAAATTTTAAATTTTAAATTTATTAAAAAAATATATAAATTATATCTTAAAATTTTATATAAAATTAAGTTAAGATAGTTTTTAAAAAAATATATACACTACATGATATTCAGTAAAATCTTAGTTGAAAGTACTTGTTCTAAACCGTGCAAAAACTAATACAATGCCACTCGGACAAGATAGAACACTTGTGTTAGTTGAGATGTGCTCATGGACGGTTGGTTATCTCTGAAACCCTCTTGCAGTAAAATAAAATCACGAACAACTTACAACACCTATGATGATAAATACATAGGACAACAACACAAACCACAATCGTCCATAGATTACACAATTTTGTATTTAGAAAACATGTAATATAAAAATAACTCTTCGCATACTCAAAGTTGTTGTCCATTCGTGAATTCTGTCCTGCGCATTTTTACGTTAACCGGAACTTCTTTGGAGGATTGCACCTTATCGGCTGCTCTTCGCAATGGCCTTCCGATAGAAGATCTAAGCGACCTGTGCTTCATTTCCTGCTCCACAAGTTTCTTCCTTCGTGATAGATGAAGTTAGACCATTTTCTTTCTTTGACTTGTCTCTTGAAACTGGAAACTTGGCAACCTCAATCTCGAATAACTTCTCGGCAGGTTCCCGCTCTTGGGATTTAAACCTAGCAGATTGCCTTCGCACACAACGCCTGCAGCACAGGGGAAATGCAGGGCTTCAAGGTTAATGTACTTTCGAAAATGTACAATTACACGATCGTGACGTGATACAGAACGGTGAAACACCAAAAAATGCTCGAGAACTTGGCATGGTGCTCATTTTCTTGTTAACTTGCTTCTAATGTTCTCAATGCTCTTAATCTCTAATATAGGTAGCAAGCCTTTTATTACTAGAATACAGGGAGCGAGCCTTTTATTAGTATAATATCACCCTAGCAAAATGGTTTCTACATAAACTTGCAAGGTTTTAGCCCCATGGAGAATGGAATGCCGCGATCAAGACCCATTTCCATTTAGTATTTAAGACCAGATTGTTGAGAAACTGGTGGAAGTGAACAAACCTTTTGGTTTCAGTCTTCTCTTTTTCTGCATTTTTTCGATTTGTTGTCGAAGGGCCCATGGCTGCACAGCAAGTCATTTGAGAGTTGAGTACCTTGCGCAAGCAATTGAGAAACAAAAGAAACTGCTTGGCATTCAGAAGCCATTTTAGGTCAAAATGCTTACATCGACTTCTTCCTGTGCGCCTTCCGCTGCGACCACAGGGTTTGATATCATTGCTAGCTTCTGGCAAGCATTCCGCCTCTTCTATCTTTTCCACTTCCTTGAACCAACAATGTACAATGTGGTCAAGTGATAAAAAAGTAAGAAGCTATGAATGGTTTTAACAATTTTGTTGACACACATAAAGTTGAAGAGACTCACCTGGGAGACAGCATTTTGACAGTTCACGTCTGCTTTTGCCTGCATAACAACAAGATTCATTGTCAATGACATTAGGGGACACTTTCGTCCAATTAAAACCTGTTCAGGCCTGGCACTAAAATATGTTCCCTTGATCCCTTTCCTATATATGTTTCGAAATGTCACTGAATTGGAGTCAAACTTGCTCCAAATGCACATGTCCATGTTGATTTAAAACCGTTCAACGCGACTATGATTGGAGGAAGAGATTAATTTTTCTATAAAGCCAAAGTTTATCATACCGGAAGTAGAAGCGTGTGGCTTAAAAAGATTAAAATCCCTCATGAAATTGCATAGAAGAAGTTGAATTTAAGAGTGGGAGTGAGACAATAAGAAGAGAAGAGAATTGTATTCAACGGTGTGATTTGTTTACAAAAGAGTAGTCTGGCCTGAGGGGAAGGTTTCTCGTTCTAACTGATATGGGACAAACTCAAGGTGGTAAAATGGAGACCAACTTGAGTTTTAAACTAAATTCTGAAGACATTCAGGAGTACGCACCTTAGTGAAGAGATCAGTAGTTTAACCAGCAAAAGAAACTGATAATAGTCCAATGGTGCTATAAGTTAGATGGTGATGCACAAAGTGACAATCTATCTCAATGTGTTTTGTGCGTTAATAAAATATATCATTGCGAACAATCTAGATAGCACTCTGATAATCACAGCTGATGATAATTAAAACAAAATGAGTGACACCCATCTCTTAAAGTGACAATCGAAGCAAAAGAAGTTCCCAATAGAATTCTCGAATTCTATGCTGGATCTGGTGACAACTAGTTGCTTCTTGCTGCTCAACAAATAAAAATATTGCCAAGGGAGAAGTCATAGCCAGTTGTGAATCTACAATCAGTGGGGTCAACTGCCTGAGTAGGCAAGAAGCTCAAGTAAAGAGTGGGCAAAGAGATGTCACGGAGACAGAGTAGGGAGTGCAAAGAGGAGAGAAGAATTGACTAGTAATATAAGAGATGTAGGACAAGTAACTATAAGATAACAATACTTGTCACTGTATATGATATGTTTCCCCACATCGATTAGAAGGAGAAACCTTCCCTTTAGGCTCAGGGTAGACTAGATGCACGTGTTGTAAACAAATCACATTATTCAATATAATTCTTTTTTTTATATATGTTGTCTTGTATTGAAAAATTTTAAAAATTAAATACATATAAATTTATATGATTTAACAACTTATTGCATATAATTATTGATTTGTATTAATCAATCAAATAAACAATATAAATAAGAAGAAGGGGAAAACTTTTCTCTACTCAACTCATTTTCATTCAAATTCTTACTATCTTCTTCTGTTTATACTCGTTACCCACGCAGCTCTTCACTAAATACATATATATACACTAAGCTGGGAGTAAAGTCCATAAATCATGCCATAATTTATGCCTTAAATTAAGTCTCCATCATGTGCTAAGTGGAAGATTAGTTATTTCCACTTGCATATGGTAGAGGTGAGACATTGTTTGTCTCTAGACATTGTTTGTCTCTACTTTACTAACAATCTCCCATTTAGAGACAAATAATGAAATTATATTTTTTCCTTGAAGACTAACCAGAGTTTTACATAACTTTACTTTATTAAGTTTAACTCCTTTGGTTAGCATGTCAACTAGATTCTTGCTTCTACATGCATTTTCTAACATTAGTTGCTCATTATATAGCAATTATCAGATGAAGTAATATTTGATTTGAATATGCTTAGTCTTGGAGTGAAATGCTGGATTTTTAGCAAAGAATATTGCACTATAACTGTCATTATATAAAGTATTTTTTTCATTCATTTTGCTCAATTCTTTCAAGAAACTTTGTAACCATACTATCTCTTTTGCAGATTTTAAAACTGTAACATATTCAATTTTTGCTGTTGAAAGAGTGACAATCTTCTACAAGGTTGAACTCCAGGAAACAACAATGCCTCCTACAGTATATACATATCCTGTAGTGCTATTTTTTTTATCAACATCTTCTATTAAATTAGCGTTTACAAAACTTTCAAGTTTTAAAGCACTAGTTGTGAAGGTAAAATAAGTCTCAAAGAACTTTTTAAGTATCTCATGATCTATTTTACCGCATTTCAATGCTACTTTTTAAAATTGCTCATATATTGGCTTATAACTCCCACCGCATAGGCAATGTCTGGTCTGGTACAGACCATAACATACACCAAAGAGCTGATAGCTAGGGCATATAAAATCTTATCCATGTATCCATATTCTAGCTCAATTTTTAGCAACTGATCTTTGCTTAACTTGAAATGATTATCTAAAGGTGTACTTACTGGTTTAGCATTATTCATATTAAACCTGGTGAGAACCTTCTTGACATACTCTATTTGTGAAAGCTTTAATGTGCTTTTGTTGTACTTACTGGTTTAGCATTATCCATATTAAACCTGATAAGAACCTTCTTGACATACTCTATTTATGAAAGCTTTAATGTGCCTTTGTCTTTATCTCCAATGATTCTCATACCAAGTATTTGTTTAACAACTCATAGGTCCTTCATTTCAAACTATTTTGATAACTGCTATTTCAACTTGTCAATCTTTTCAATGCTAGATCCTGCACTCAACATATCATCTATATATAATAGTAAAATGATGTAGGACTTGTCAAAATGTTTGACATAGTGACAACGATCAGTTTGGCATCTTGTGTGCCCCAAACTGTATAAAAAGTTGTCAAACTTCTTGTACCACTATCTTGGAGCTTGTTTCAAACTTATAGGCTTTTCTTTAACTTGCAGACAGACTTGGTTATCCTTTCTTTGTATTGTAAACCCCTTTGGTTGTTACATATAAATGTCTTCCTCCAAATCACTAAGAAGAAATGTTGTTTTTATATCTAGTTGTTCAAGATGTAAATTTTCTACAGCTACTATCCTTAGAATAACTCTGATTGTTGTGGTTTCATAATTGGAGAAAATATTTTAGAGTAATCAATCCCTTTCTTATGTTAAAATCTTTTTACAACAAATCTTACCTTGAACTTTTTGTTTCCATCATGCTCAGTCTTTAGTTTGTAAACCCACTTATTTTGTAAATCTTTCTTTCTTTTAGGTAGTGTGCTTAGCTCCCAGGTCTTATTTTTCAACAAAGAATCTATCTTGTTCTTCATGGCTAATTTCTACTTACTTGAGTTTTCATCTTGTAATGATTCTTCATAAGCTTATGGTTCACCTTTATCTGTCAACAAAAATACAATTAAGTAGAAGTGTGAATCGTTATAGGGGTTTTACTGTCCTTGAAGATAGGCTAACATAAATAATAGTTTCACTTAACTTTATATCTTCCTGTGTAGTAGTTGATACAAATGTGCTTAAATCTTCTTGTAAAGACTCTTGATTTTTATTTTGCTTGGTAACATCAAGAAGCCATTCTAATCTTATAAATTCATATTTTTGTTGACTTGTATCTAAATCAGTCATATCTGTTTCTACACTTGATCTATTTTTATACAAAACTTTTTCATTGACGATCACGTTCGTGCTTCTGATAATCTTTTTGTTTTAATCATCCCAGAACTGAAATTCAAATTCTTCATCTCCAGAGCCAATGAAGAAATATTTCTTGGATTTGGCATCTAACTTGTTGCAAGAACCTCCAAGAGATGCTACTGGACAAAGTCCCTATAAATTTATGTGTACCAGTTCTAACTCTCTTTGTTTTAAGGTCTTGCCAACCTTTAAGAAAATAAGCTTATTCTATTTTCTAACAATACAACTTTCATAAATATCTAGTTCAACATTTTTAACTCTAGCAGCTTTTCTTTTGACTGAAGTATCTTCATCTCCCTTTGACTTATATGGCTGATTTTATAATGCCATAGCTGTACCTAATTTTCTACTTCAATAGAGGCAATAATGCCTATAAATTTTATGGTTATATATATGATACTAGTTTTTTTTTTTCACGAGCCAAAACCATTGCTCTCTTCGATACTTTCCACATACCTCCATAAAAAAAGATTAAATGACCATTGTTGTTAAGTTATCCAACAACAATCAGTTTCCTCTTTAATCTAGGAACATGTCTTATATTTTGTAAGTTCCATATAAGATCCATTTATTATCTTGATTTGCACATCTCTTATGCCCGTAATATCCATTGGTTATCCATTGACCAGATAGACTACATCGTGATCTCTAGCGACATAGTTTTGTATAGTTTCGTAGTGTGGTATACAGTGAAATGAAGTATCAGAATCAAGAATTCAATCATTAATTAGACTTTGTACCAATAAACAAAGTATCTTATACCTTATCTGTGGTAGCATTTGCAAAGTCGACTTCATGTTTCTTTATTTTGTGCAACTTCTCATGTAATACCCAGGTTTGCCACAATTCTAACATTTAACTTGCTTTCTGGAAATATCTGTTTAGTATTGTGGTTACTTTTATAGATGTGGTTTAAAAAAAACAATTAAATAAAAAATACTTTTTATGATATTTGTTTTTAATTTTGATGTGTTTGGTTAAAACTGTAGTTGGAATTATAGTTTAAGAAAAAGTAATTTGTTATATTTGGTTAATATGTTTTTTGTATGAGGTTTGATTGTAATTACTTAAAAAACAAAGAAGATGTTAATAAGATAAATAAAACCACCTTCCCTAAACACAGTATCAGGATGGAAGTTCCTAGTGGTTGCTTTTAATTCATTAAAGGAAAAACTCTTTAAATTTAAGGACTGCAAAATCTCACCCCATATCCGAGGAGTTGAAGGCACTATGGAACAAGAGACCATGCTGCTTAACCCACTCTTGTCATTCCCACATTTACCAGTATATCTTAATTCCCTATTTACTTTTCCTTTCTCTTACCAATCAAAATGCAAATAAAGGTCTATGTCCTAAGAAGGAAAACATCAAGAATCTAAAATAATGCTACTTTCTAAAAGGAAAAGGCTAGAGCAAAAAACTAAATATTACTTAAAAAAAAAAAGATCAAAAAAGGAATGAACAAAAATTACTACCTTTGGCAAATAGTGAGAACAAATATCCATCAAGAACAAGATGTGTGTGAATTTGTGAACATATCATTTCAAGGAGGACTCTTAGCTTTAATTCGTGTTCTGAAGCATGACCTCACTGACATAAAGATATTGAAAACCCTTCACTTTGGTCACACATTGATTTGTGATGATATTGAAATTGTCATATGTTTTCATAACTTCCCAACTGCTTGGAAGTGAAGCTTGCAAAATAAGTGCACGAATCTCATCATCAAACTCAATCTCAATAAATGACAATTGATTTGTGATGATATTGAAATTGTTGAGATGTTGTGTAACATAGATGCCTTCTGTTATCTTCAAGTTGAACGACTTCATCAAATGCACTTTTTTATTTTCTAAGGGCTTTTTTTATACATCTCAGTCAAGGCTTCCATTAATCTTGTAGTGAATATATATATATATATAACATTATGAACAAACTCTTCTTGATAAAGATAACTTGATAATGCCCAAAACTTGTCTATCAGGAATTAGTCAATCTTCTTCTTGTATTTTTTTTTGTTTGCTTCCCAACAAAGAAAGATGAAGTTTCTTCCTATATAGATAGTCTTCGATTTGTATTTGTTAATATTTAAAATTTATCCCATTAAAATTTTCAATTCTAGTATCTTTTATTTCATTTGCCATTTTAACTAACTTTAGATCTAGAATTTGCTTAATTGAACTTCACGATTATGTCCAGAATGGCCACAAACATTGGAAATGCCTCTAAAATCACCTAAATCAGACTTTGAATGACTCATATCTGATTAATCAAATGTTAAACCAATGGAAGATGCAGATGAAGCCACGTGTTAGCTGAAATAGTGTTTATGGCACACCGGATTAAAACTCAAGATGATGACATGACGTGTGTTGACATGTTAAACATATAAGCAATACAAGCCTATAACCGATGACGTGGTAGATCCACATGGAATTTTGGCTGATGATGTGGTAAGTGACATGGCCAATGACTTTGTAAAATTGTTGTTGTGTCTGCTGACTGGTTGATGACATGGTGGGAGGGTCAATCTAGTTTAGTTACAGATATTCAGACGAAGAAGAAGCGTGTGGTGTGTCTATGTGTGTGGACAGTCTTGATGCAGACACGTGTTGACACGTATGGGATGTAGGATATCGGTTCTTCACCGGAGTTTCACCAGTGGATTTGTCTCATAACCCCCTATACGATGGTATGTTCAAAAACACGTTTTAAGAATTGTGATTTATTGGTTTGGATCAAACACCTTTTTTTTAAGAACAAACTCTAATACCAGTTGTTGGAATATTTCAGAAATCAAACACACATAAATTTACATGGTTCGACAACTTGCCTACTCCAGGAGCTACTGGTTTGTATTAATCTATTAAAGAAATGGTACAAACAAGGAGGAGGGGAAAACTTTTCTCTACTCAACTCACTTTCACTCAAGCTGTCTCAATCTTCTTCTCTTTATACTCTTTACCCACGCAGCTCTTTAGTGAGTACATATATACGCACTAAGCTAGGAGTAAATGTCATAAATCATGCCATGATTTATGGCTTAAATTAAGCCTCCATCATGTGCTAAGTGAGAATTAGTTGTTCCCACTTGCACATGATGTTGGGATATTCTAAAAATCAAACACATATAAATTTACATGGTTTAGCAACTTGTCTATTCTACGAAGCTACTGGTTTGTATTAATCTATCAAAGAAACAATAAAACAAAGAAAAAGAGAAAACTCTTCTCTACTCAACTCACTTTCACTCAAGCTTTTTCTATCTTCTTCTCTTTATACTCTCTACCCATATAGCTTTTTACTGAGTACATATATACACAAACTAAGCTAGAAGTAAAGGCCATAAATCATACTATAGTTTATATTTGAAATTAAGTCTCCATTATATACGGAGTGAGAGATTAGTTCACTTTGCTAACAGCTCACTCCCTCCCTCTTTTAAATTCAACTTAGTATCAAAGCCACTTTATTAGTGTTCCTTAAATATATACATTACCAGAATTGTAGCATGATTGTATTGAATGGTATGATTCGTTTAAAAGAGAGGTATTATATTTATAGTCTAGCCTTTCTCATTCTAACCGATGTGGAACAAATATACACATTATATACATTAACAAAAGACATTCCAACAAACCAGGGAAGGTATGACTCTTGCCAAGCATCGAGGCATTTCTAAACCACAACTTGTGATGGAAAGTATCCAGTCCACTTTTGGGTTACAAGCATTTACAGAATTTATCAATGAGATTGGTTTTATCCTGAGTTAATTAAAGTCCTAAAACAGTACTATACTCGTTTTCACTTTCTATATCACTCGATAATGCAATGCCATGAAACAAAATATGCAGAGTTGTGTGTGTTCTGCTGAATCTCAAACTCAACCATTTTAATGGATTCTGAAGATGAATAGTAGAATAAAAAGTGAAACTAACCTGAGCTTCTAGATTTCTAGCTTTATGTAAGGCATCCTTGCATACAACTTCATGCTGCAGTGCCTTCAGCTGAAATGACAATACTAGTTCCTGAATCAGGCTCTTACCAAAGGAAAAAAAAAGACTAGAATTCAAGGCAAGCAGTTGGTGTTTCAAACGAACTCACCTTTTCTCTTCCTAAATTAAGCTCCTGTTAAATAAGAAAGAATACAATCAAATATCACTTAAAATTATACTACTGCAAATGAGATTAGCTTTAAATATTGATGCAGGGAAGAAACATACTGCTAACATCTGGCTGTTCGATTGAGCAAGATTCCAGTTCTGCAACTGCAAATTCTGATAATTCATTCGCAGATCCCGCAATTTATTTCCACTCAATTCTATAATTTTACTGTTTAATCATAGTTAAGAAAATCCAAATCCATCAAAATTTGGTTGTTTGTGTTGGACGTGAAATCTTTTCTTAAATCCCAAATAGTGAAATGAGTAAGGTTTCTTACCTGTCCAATTTCCCATATTTACTTTCTCTACAATCAAACAAACAAAGAAACACACAAAGGCAATTAAACAAACGAAAGAATAAATAAAGCAATCAAAGGATACTTTCTCTCTTCTACCAGTTTCAGCAGCTTTTCCTTTTCCTGTTTCACCTAAAAAAAATAAAGACACGAAAGCCAAATCAATGCAACGTTCATTCCACACAAAGGATTACCGCACCACTAAAAGAAATCAACCCATTTCATTTCTTTCATTTTCTCGTCGACAAGGGAAATTCTAGTACTAGGTTGTGAATCAACCAGACTAATTCTTCCCATACAATCTTAAGGAGATATCCCATATATGCATGTGCATTCATAGTAAATGACCCAAAAGAAAAAAGAAAATGATATGCGTACCAAAAAAAGCTGATCAATTAAGTCTTGAGTACATTCAGGAATCCTTGGTTGTTCTTCTATGAGGCCAACAAATTTGGATTGTGACTGAGTGTTGGTAATATCAGAGAGCCTTCTCCTCATTATTGTACCAAATGATGATCTTTTTTCCATTCTTTCTCCCTTCATGCTTTTCTAACTCCTCTTTGACACCCCAATCAAAGGATATGGAAGAAAATGTGATTTCTATAGAAATTAAAAGCAAGTGAAGCGGATGGTGTTTTTGGGTCCAAAACTGGTTTCTAGAGCAAAAGAAAAAGAAACCAAAAATCTTCAAGACAACGTTGATAAAAGAAATCAAATGGTTTCAAAGTATTACAGAAAGAGATAAAGAGAGATAGGAATGGATCAACGAAAAGGGAAAATGTTTAATTTGGGAGTGGAATCAAGTTTTTGGTTTGGTCCAAAGAAAACGAAACAGAAATAAAGGAGAGAGGGCCAATACAAGGAAAACATTACCGTATGCATGGTAAGCAGGTTCGGAGCTCTAACGGCTACCTGAAGCTAAGCGCCAATATCTATCCGAACCTCTTTTTTGAATTTCCAAACCTACTTCAGAATCTCTTCTTTTTCTTTTTTTTTTCCTTTTCCTTTTCCTTTTTCTTTTTATAGGCATTTTTTTTCTTGAATTTTCCTTTTCAAATTAACAACCTTTTCCCCCCTTGTCTAATCATTATTATAATTGTTGTTCTATTTAATATACTAACACACGCGTTTATATTTATTATGCTTCATTTAAATTTAATCCTTTTTTCTTTAATGAATTCAAATTATATGTAATTAGCTCATTTGTTCCTTTTTTTTCATTTATTCAAAATAAATAATAGTCTTAAGACTTCTTTAGTTTCTTCAAAAGATTTTTTTTTAATATTTCTTGGTTATTATATACTCAAAATCTTGATGTTAAAATATAAAATATGAAAAATAATTAAAATTATTTAAATAAGGATAGTTCGTTTTGCTTTTGCTTTTGATATCAAACCAAAGAAGTAAATAATCTTGAACGTTAGCAAAAATCGATTGTGCACTAACCTTCTAGACAATTAATTTATATCAAATTATGTTTTATAATAATTAAATTGAGATTTTTAATGGACCTTTATTGTTTATATAAACAAATCCCATTTTCTTTTTATTTTCTCTGTTTTTTTCTTTTAATTTTGTTATTTTTTAATTTCATCTTCAAAATTTTTAAAATAATTGTTTAGGTTTTTTTTAGACCAGTCAGGTTAACAAGATCTCATCGAGGCAACTTCTATTTGGTTTAATTCTAAACTCGGACTAGGTCAAAAGTTTTATTTTTTATGTCAATTGTTTTTCTTTTTTTGTTCTCAATTTCACCATAAAATTAGGTTGGCCAAGTTGCCAAGTCGATTGGATTATATTGGGATAACTCCCATATAATTTAATTTTAAACTCATGTTAGGCAATGAATTAGGCCGAGAGTTTTATTTTTTTATGTCAATTTCATTTCTTTCTCCCCCCCTCCTCAATTTCACCACAAATTTAGGTTGGCCAAGTTGCCAAGTCGATTGGATTGCATTGGGACAACTCTCACATAGTTTAATTTTGAACTTGTGTTAGATAATGAACATCAAAAGTTTTATATTTTATGTTAATTTCATCCATTTTTCTCAATTTCATCTATAAACTTGGGCTGGTCAGGTTAGCTTTGGACCTATCAAGTTGAATAAGTCATATTGGGGTAACTCCTGCTTGGTTTAAATTTAAACCTAAGCTAGGCAATGAGTCAGATTGAGAGTTTTCTTTTATATGTCAATTTCAATAATTTGTTTCTTAATTTCATCCACAAACCTAAAATGGTCAGGTTGCCTTTGGACTAGTCATGTTGACTGAGTCATATCAGAACAACTCTCATATGGTTTGATTTTAAATCTAAGTTAGGCAAGGATTCCAATTGAGAGGATTTAAGGTTGATCTACTAAGCCAAATTCAATAACAAAGTCAAATAATTCTCTACAACTTAGATATCTTTTATTACGTTCCTTTTTATTTGACTCTCAACGTAGTGTGTTGGTGTAGTTTACAAGTGAATAAAGAAAAAGATTTTTATTTCATATTAAAAAGAAACACTAAGTGTAAGTTTCTATAACGTAGTAAATTGAGTGAAAGTTACAATGGATAGGCTCTTCAAGTGAGTTTTTTAATGTCATTATATGAATATTTATAATATTAAAAGATGATACTTAGCATTTGTAACTCGAGACTTGATTTGTTAGTGAGGTTATTTTTTTTTCATAATTAATTTGATATTTGTCATTGGTAGAATAAAACTGAATAACAACTATTCAATTTAATTCAAAATATAATTATCTTATTAATAGTCATATAGTTTTATTAACAATCATATAATTTTATTATAATATTTCAAATCTATATAAACCTGTTACTATAAAAAGAAAAATGATATACAAAAAAAGTATTTTCTTTTCCTTTCCTTTTGTTCTTATTATTTAAGAGGTTTAAGGAGTTTATTTATATCTTAAAGGTGTTGTCTCTATATGAAATAAATAAACAGCTTAAAGATAGTGTTTTCACTGCTCTAAGCCAATTAATTTTACTTTTTATTTATTTCCATACCCCAATAATTTACTAATGATCTTTAGGTGTTTATTATAGAGACAAACATAGTAACTGAGAATGTCAAAACTCAATTGGATTGTTTTGATGGTACGAATTACACAAGGTGAATGGGCAAAATAATATTCCTGCTTACTTTATTAAAGATTTACTATATTCTTGATTTGAATCTATCTGCACTACTTGAATCACAAGAAGATGATTCTATTGTTGTTAAGACTAAAAGACTAAGATGTGAGGAAGATGAAGTGTTATGTCAAAGGCATATTTTAAACACTTTGACTAGTTGTCTTTATGGCATCTTCTTTAAATTAAAGTTGCTAAAGATAATTTAGGAAGCCTTAGAGGCACATTATAAATAAAAATAAAAAATCAAATTCTAATCATTCCCTTACTTTAAAATATTTTGAGTATAGATTACTATCTATGGTTTCAAGCATTCAAATTAGAATGATTATTGAATTGAATATGAGAATTACCATTGTGAAGATTTAGATTCAAGGCTAAATTTTGGTGCAATAGTTCATGTCTATAACAACAAAGCATGGTTTAAGACTTATAAAAAAATTAAAGAAACTTGATAAGATCTTTATGACCAACCATAATCCTGCCAATATTTTAGGAAAATGAACTGTTAAATTGCACTTTACTTCTAGACAAAAATTATATTTGGCAATGTGTTTCATATTTCTAAAATTAAAAAATAAATATTATATCTGCTAATCTTTTAAGCAATAAAAGGTTCAAGATTATTTTAGAGTCGGGTAAAGTTATTGTAATTAAAAGTGAGATGTTTGTGGAAAAAGAGTTATTCTTGTTATATCATGTTTAAGTTCAATATTAATAAATCAATGTTGTTTATGTTTCTATGGTTAAATTTACTTCTTCTCTTTAGCATGCTAGATTAAATCATCTAAATTATATATATTTGAAATATATGTGTAAGCATGTTGATAATGATAAATGTGAAGTATATATTCAAGCTAAGATGACTAAAACAAACATCTTTTTCTAAGGTTGAAATAAATTCTTAATTACTTAAATTAGTGTATAGTGTTTTCTGATATTTGTGAAATAAACGATACGTTAACAAGGGATGTGAAAGGATATTTTATAGATTTTATTAATGATTATTATTATTTTACTTATATTTATTTGTTAAGAATTAAAGATGAAGCCTTTGAGAAATTTTAAAAATTCAAGAAAATGATAAAAAATAAAAAATATATGAAAATTAAAATTATTAGAAGTGATATAGGTAGTGAATACGTTTTTAGGAAGTTTTCTATATTTTAATAAAATAATTCATCTAATGATTGTACCCTATACATCACAACATAATAAACTTGCTCAAAGGGAAAATATGACCTTAATGGATATGGTTAGTTCCATGCTTTTAAATGCTGAGTTACGAAATAATTTATGGGGTAAAGCTCTACTTACTGCATGTCACTTTATAAAATGACATACGGTAACCAAATTTAAAAAAATACTGAATTATATTAAAGAGATAAATTATTACTCTTTTATAAAAGAGTATTATCTAAAAAATTAAATATTTCTCTTTATAAAGCATGGAATGGTAGAAAATCAAATCTGAATTATATTAAAGTGCGGGAGTGTAGTATAAATATTTCGATACTCAAAGAACAAAATTAAGACTTAGAGAACTTAAAAGTGCTATTATTAGTTATGCACAAGTTAAAAAGCTTATAGGCTTCTGGATGAAAATAATGTGAAAGTTTAATTTGTGCATGTTGAATTTATTAAAAAACAAATTATAAGTAATTCAAAATGAAAAAACCAAATCTAATAGTAATAACTCTCATCTTAACTTTAAGTGAAAAAAACATAAAAACTCGAAAGTAACAAGTTCAAGTGAGCCTAGAATGAGTTAAAAAGTTAAAGGAAAAACACTTAGATATATACATATTTCATTTAAACTGATTCAATTGTAATGTTAGTAAAAGTTAATAGAAACACAATATTAAAAAGGAAACTTATGATCCTAAATATGAAAGATAATCCAAAGACATTTTATGAAGTTATATTTTATAGGATGTTATATTTTTGAAAAAAATAGTAAATGATAAAATAGATTCAATATTGTCTAACAATACTTAATTCCTGGTAGATTTTTCTCCAGGTTATAAGTCAGTAAAATATAAGTAAATATTTAAAAGAAAATATAATACTAACATTTTTATACAACCTTTCAAGGCCATATTAGTTGTTAAAGGCTTTACTCAAAAAATATGTTGATTATAATTTTTGACACTTAGTCTCTAGTGACAAGAATTACATCCATTATAGTTTTATTTATTTCAGCATCAACTTATAAATTATATGTTTATCAAATGGAGATTAAGATGACTTTTTTAAATGAATATTTAAAGGAGAAAGTGTATATGAAGCAACTTGATAGTTTTATACTTCTTGAAAATGAGAAAAAAAAAAGTCTATTAATCGGTAAAGTCTCTATATGGTTTAAAACAAACTTTGAAACAATGGTATTTGAAGTTTGACAAAATAATATTGTTAAATATTTTTTTATCACAATGGTATCGATAAGTGTATTTATTCCAAATTTATAAAATACTTTGATATGATTATTTGTCTCTATATAAAAGACATGTTAATATGTAACACCAATATGATTGGAATAGTTAGAACCAAAAGGTATCTCACTTTTATTTTTAAAATGAAAGATCTTTATGAAGTGAATACAATTTTAAGCATCAAAGTTAAGAAATATAGTAGTAATTATGCACTTAATCAGTTACAAATGGTAAAATCTTTATACGATTTAAAACAAACTTCAAAAAAATAGCAAGTGAAGTTCGACAAAGCAATTTT